TACTGGGTCTATTATTAAATGTAGCACATGGAAACTTGGCAAGAAAATTAGCAGTTGAGATTGGAGGTACATTTCAATTATATACTGCTAAATTATAATTTTTGTATATTGATTGATTGATTTAAATTAAAGTCAACATCAGCAATATGAATGTYCCAACTACATGTACATCTTAATAATGGTGATTGATTTTTTGYTAGGTTCCAAGCGTCTAACAGCTCTTTCAACCATCATATCCTGTGCTCTTACATTCCCTCTTGCAGTCATCACCTATTATAGTCAGGTCAGTTATAATGTACACTAAACAATGTTTACATTRAGCAGTAATAAGATTTATAGAAACATAAAAAGGAACATAAAAAAATGTTGAAGTTTGTTATGATGTTGCTCTTTTGTTATGAAGTACGAACTCACGGACTATCAACTTGACACTGTGTGTAATATTGTTAAATATACCATATTAATGTCTAATTCCACTTTTTTATAGCCTGTGTGAAGGCGTTCCTACGTAGTTGGGGTCAGAGCAAAGAAAGGAACGTCTGCACGCAGGCTACATTTTGTATTTTTTGTACACTGTTGATTTATATATTTCTTTYAGGAAGCATCCATAAACTGGCTAAGTACCCTTTTACCAATGTCTGCTGTCATCYTATCTGTATTCATAATGGATTTCTATGTGGAGTCTTTCTGTGTGTCAAAGTTAGAAAATGCCATGACGGCAAARCTAGGGTCCACAGCATCATTTATTGCTGCCCTGTTCTTTGCATTGCTGTGGGATCAGCCCTGGGCGTGGTCTGTCCACCAATGGCACCATGGGAATTCAGGCGATAATCATTTACTTTCAGGAGGGACAGTATTCAGCGCTTTGTTCTTTATTCTAGGTGAGTGGGTGTGCTGTACCTATTTATTCATAGACGATTAATAATATATGATACAAATCAAAGTAAATCTATTACCCTATTAACTATAAAATGTAATAATTATTACTGACAATATAATATTGCCACTACCATAAGTCAGCATCCTATGTTGAGGGAGATATTTTCAGTGTCTTCAAGTTGCTGTAAAGTGATACTTAAATCTACAATGTACTAAATAAATATATCAGACTTTCACATTTTTGCATCAAACTACTKTCACTTATATTTCAGCCACTAGATTACTATGCCGTCCATCACCGCGCCCAGCAAAAGGCAACTTGATTGGCTATACAACAGGCGGATTACCAATYTATAACTTCCATACACCACAATCCATATTGTCTACAATGAGATCATTTCTGAGACAAACACTTGAAGAGTCTGAATCAAGGCAGATATTCTACTTCTTATGTTTGAATTTAGTAAGTGAACATTGCCAGAAATAATATCAATGAGTATAATACACCTACTTGCAGAAACGTCATATAAAATAGGACATTCGAATTTAGTAAAAAGGAATAAATTAAAACAAAACAAAAGAAAGCATTCAGCCTCAGTGATCTTCTTTTGTCTTTTTAATTTATTTCTTTTTCCTAAAATATAAATGTCCTATTTTTTATGACAACGTTTTCGCAAGTAGGTGTATATTATTACAAGATTGAATCTGTCAAGAAAAGTTTGTTTACATCTTTTCTGTCGTGTAGTTTTTCACTGGTGTAGAGCTTGCGTACGGCGTATGGACAAACAGTCTTGGTTTGATATCTGATGGATTCCATATGTTGTTTGACTGCACAGCTCTAGTGCTTGGGCTCTGTGCTGCCCTCATGTCAAGATGGAAACGGACAAGAACATTCTCATATGGGTAAATAATATGAAAAATTCCACTCAATGATCTTGGTTCATATAAAGCCAAACGTACTGTAAAATGAAAACTGTAATTCAT